CCCGCCCCCCCCCGGCGCCGCCGGCCTCGGCAGGAGCAGCCACGCGCTGGAGGCAGCGGCTGCGGGCTCACAGACACCGATTCAGCTCCTGCACAGCTCCATTGGCTTCACCCCATTTTATTACATGGGATTAGATTTTAGAAGAGATTGTAGAGACTTTTTCCTCTCCCTGTGCTTTCCTACGGAGCCTCAAGTCACCAAACATCCCCTGCATCCTCTCTGCGTTTAAGTGTTTGCGAGCACCGAAGCCATTCCCTGTGCTGGCTCCAGGAGCATCTCAGCTGGGACCCATGGAGCGGGTTTGCCAGTGCTATGGTTTTATTTTGGTTTCTTTTTTTAAAACTGAGTGAGCAAAATTTGCACATTAAAGTAGAAGCTGATTATTTGATCTCTGCTTCAAAGCATGTGGAAGAGTAGAAAAAAACACAAACCAATACAAGGTAAAATCAAATGTACCTGGGCACAGGGGCCGGGCTGCAGCTCCGCCGAGCGTCTCTGATCCCGACCCCTCAGCTGATTTCAGGGTTCACAACACAGCTCCCACCTCCCCCAGCCAAAACTCGTCGGGACGCTCACCACCCTGCTGCCGCTGCCGCTGCCGCCACCGCTCACCTAGCCTGCCTCTTACCCGGCCACGCTCCCAGGGGAGCAGAGCTCGCCCGACTCGGAGGCTGGACCGGACCTGGGAAGCTCCCAGCCGGCGCCAGACCGGGGTCCCAGGAGAAACCCCCCCACCGAGCGGGTGCCGCGGGCTGCGGCCAGGGCGGTTTTGGGGCTGATCCTGTTCTGTCGGAGAGCACAAATTCAGCGGTGCCAAAACCTCTCCTGGGAAAGGCTTGCGGCTCCCCGGTCCCCCAAGACTAAAAGCAGCCTTCAGCGCACTGCCTGCCCTGACTCGGGGCCGGGCATTGCTATTGACCTGCACTTTTAAACTCAAATACTAGAAATATAAGGAAAACACCACCATAAGGACACGCCAACCCACTCCTGCCCTCGCCGCCTCTCCAATTGCCTCCTTCGTGGCAATTTTGAGATTTTGACTTGCTCAGGGTCGATGTCTCAGCCCAGCAGGCAGCAGGACCTGCTCCCGGCTGCCTCCACCACGAAGCCGCTGCCTGACCCTCCCTGCCAGACACCAGGAGGGGGCCAGCGGCAGCACTGGCTTTGGGGGGCCCCACGCCTGCCGGCACCAACACCCACCAGCAGCCGAAACCCACGCGGCGAGAGGGCACCCAGGGCCGGCTGCAGCCCTGCAAGGCGGGTGGCCAGGCAGCGCGGGGCATACCCACGCCTCCGAGCATCCTCTTCCCCAGGTGCCTTAGAGACGCGAGCCTCCCTCGGCACCGCCTGCTGAGTCATTTTTGCATTTTGTTGCTTTGTCTGCCATAACCCACATCGTGTCACCCTTCCTACAACCCAACACCGCAAACTACTGAACAGCAAACTGCTGCAAGAGCTTCTAGGACAAGCGGGGGCAACAGGTTTTACGGGCCGCTCTCAGTGCAGAGACGCTCCCTTCTCAGCAAAGTGCCCAGTAATTCCCTGACGTACTCGGGTTATGCAGCCTGCCCCTGGCACAGGCTCCCTCCCGAGGCCACAGACGCCTCTTCCCTTTTTCGGCTACTCCACTAGCTTTGCCGCGCCTGGAAGACGTTACCACCAGGCATGCAGAGGGCTCTGATCAAGGTGGCTGGGATGAAAATGAGGAAGGCCAAACAGTAAGACAGGGAGTTTCCATCCCTCCCCCAGTACCTACTCCTGAACCCAAGGGACCGGTTCACCAGCGCGTTCCCCAGCACTCGTTGCTGGAGCAAACCCTTCCCTGCCCCGGCAGCGTCCCGGGGCCAGGGACCGCACTGAGCCCCGTATACGCACCGTGCCGGGGCGGCACGGCCGCGGGGCTTGCCACACGCCTGTAAGAAAACCCTCCAACAAAGGCAATGCCCTTGTCCCTCTCTGCAAGAGAAGGGGCCAGCCCGATGTCGTTAAAACAAGCATAAATACGCCTGCTGTGACGCCCCCCGGTCTCTGCCAGCGCGGCGATGCCGCCTGCTCGCCCGCAGCCCGTGGGTCACCCTGGGGAGCAGCAGCGCATCCGCGGGGCGACACCGGGCTCTTCACCTCGGCCTTCAGGCGCTCGATCTCGATCTCCCCGTCCTCGATCTGCTGGCGGAGTTGCTTGGCAACAGTCTTCTCCGTTTCCACAATCTGCAGGAGATGGAGGTACTTCTGCATCAGCGCCTCGTGCTCCGTCGCCAGGTTCCTGTAGCTGCAGGCAGACACGGCCATGAGCACCTCCCTGCCGTGGACCCGCCACCATGGCCCCCCGGGACGTGCACATGAAATTAGGTGCCCGCACGCTGCGGTTTGCTGGGGGGGGTTTCTCCTTCCCAGCTGCCTACACGCTGCCCTTGCCCCTCCGGCTCGGGGCACCCGCAGGGAGATGGCTCCCACAGTCCGGGGTGCTGCTACTCAGACCAATTTGGAGAGGACTCGGGTTCCCCACGAGGGTGCAAACAGAAAAGATAATGCAAATTCTAAGGAAATGGTAGGAGACAAAAAAAAAGAAAAACCCATGGCCAAACCTCTCTCACCTAACACATCCCAGAAGTTTAACGAGGAGGGCACTTGTGGCACAAGCTCTTACGAACGTCTGCTCTCATTAAGGTGCTGCAGCAGATGATTTTCTCTTATCTCCCACATACAACACTCGTCTGCCCCCCTTCTCGCTGCCAGCCTGGCACCCTCCTTCACCGGACGCGCGGCTGTGCCGTGCTGGCTCCTGACCGCTCTCCCCTGGGCAACAAGTGGGCTGCGCTCGCCTTCCCACGGCACAGAAAAACCTCTTTCTGACCATTTTTGTTATTCCAGATGAAACCCTTCCCGACTGTCTTTGAACCCAATGGTGAACCGGGCATCCCTCCGGCACCAGGCTGGGACAGTCAGTGCCAGCCGGCCAGGTTGGCCGCCCTGCACGGGACGGGGACAGGCGGGCACAGGGCTGGGTGCGACGTGTCTGAATGCAGCCTCCCATGCAGCACAAGGGTCCCCAGCATGGGGCTGCAGGCCAAAAGCGCTCTGCTTTGCCTGCCAGCAGCGCCCAGCTGAACGGCTCCCTGCCCGCAGCCCTGCCCGCAGCCACCCTTGGGCACGGCTTCACCTCCGACACCCCCCGTCCCCGGGTCTGTGCGGAGGGCGATACCTGGCATGAGCTATGGCTGCCACCCACTCGTCGCAGTCCTTGGCATCCTCGGTCCTCAGCTCCAGGGTCTTCTGGTTCTCGTGGTTGAAATTAACGGTGAAGTAATGCTGCGGGAGCAAACACAGGGTGAGGCTACCGCTCGCTCGCACAGGGCTATTAGAAAAGTGCTTTATGATCCACCACAGGTTGCTTAATTTAAAAAACACATTTTGAACCACCAGGAGCACGGCCGAGACGTGCTGCCCTCAGCGCTCTGGGAAAAGCTGCTCCTTGCCAGCAAGGCAGCACAGCCGTGCCGCGGGCGAGGACGGGGCTGAGAAATGCTCTGGGGGGAAATCCCGCTGGGCAAACCTAAAACCACCGAGGACCAGGAGGCTGCAGGCCTGAGCCTGCAGCAATCGCCTTGGGGACAACCCTCACCCGGGGAAAGGGGCGGATGAACAAGGGCGTTTAGCCGGACCCGGCACCGGGCTGCCTGCATCCCTGCCTGCGCAGGCAGCGAGCACCCTTGGGCAACAAAACAAAGCCCCGCTGCTGCCTGGGGCTTAACGCTGGGCAGAGCCCCGGTCCCACGTGCTCGCACAGCTCGAGCGGGAGGCTCTGATGGGCAACGGTGTGGTAGGACTCAGCGCAGGGCTATATTTAGCCTCCCTTGACATTTACAGTATTTGTGCTAATTGTGTGCGGTGGCAGCCCGCGTCGGCTGGGGTTTGTGCTGCTCCTGTGCTTTCCTGCAGTCTCCTAGGAAACAGGTACCACGCTGCAGTGCCGGATACTGCCCAGAATAACTGGGCTAAAACGAAACCCACCAGAAAAAGCTCATCCTGACATTATCTGCTCCTCTGTTAGGTTTAACGAGGGATGTGCGTTAACAACTATCTTGGCAAAAAAAACCCCGAACCCAACCTGCAGCAGCCGCTTGCTCCCTGGTGTGAACCCCGCTGCTCCCCAGGACGGCAGGCAGCAGCCGGCTGCGACCGCAGACCCTGGCGCACCATGAAAGCACAGACGGGCACCGCACCGCCGGCAGGAGCTCGCGTGGGAACCTGCTGCAAGGCGGGGCTGCAGGCAGGGACGGGCAGGGCAGTGAAGGCAAGGCCGGCACTCACCCGGTGCAGCCGGGCGGTCCAGCACCGTCACCACCGCTGTGCTGAACATCGGGGGTACTGCTCACCGCACCTCCCCAAAACAGGGCTACGTCTCCCACCCCTGCCCTCCCAGCTCTCCCCTGTCCTCCCCCTCCCTGGGCATCTTTACTCTCGTCCCCTTCCCATCCTTAACAGGCCCAGGGGTGTTAAGGAGAAGGACCTCCAGATGGGTGCAGGAGGCCTTCAGTGAAACTGGGATGCAGGGCAGCAGCCGGCCACTGTTCCCAGGTGACTCCAGTGCAGGCAGCACGGACAGACAGACACCCAGCTCCCCCACTCAGCACCATGCCCACCTAGGGCTCATCTCGCTGGGCGACAGCCTGAGAAACACCCCCAGAGCTTCCTCAGCCCGTCCGGGTCCTGCAGAGGAGAAGGGGGAGCCCGGGGACCCCGCGCTGCCTGGGGCCACGCCAGAGCCCTCCTTCGGAAACGGCTCTTTCGCCTTCGGGGGGCAACTGGTTGTTCCTGCGACCCCGCAAAGATGCGTCTCCTTTGCTTCTGTCCGGGATCCTTTAGGTGCAACATCTCTCTATTGCTGACCCTGCGGACAAGTTTTCTCCTTATGGAGCCCTCTCCATGGTAAAACACGCCATCATCCATCTCCCACCCCTTCCCCAACCCGCCGCGGCCAGGCTGGCGAGAGCTCCAGGCAGCCGGGCTGGCAGCTCGCCTCTGTCTGCGGGACACGTCTGGAACTGCAGCAGCTCCACAGCCCTTCGCTTCTCATCCCCTTTTCTGCTCCCTCCCACCCCCAAAGGCTTTTATTGGCAACAAGACATCTCTGACAGAAAATTCACCAGAAATTTTTGGTCTCTGAAACTGTGCGGGTAGTTACGCCTCTCTGCTTTATGCCCACCTCTCTTACATCCCTTCCCTTGCAAACAGCATTAAAAAGAGCTTGTCAGATTGGCAAGTCTGGAAATCCTCCCCCTTAACCACCGACTCAAGTGTATCACCGGCCATGCCAGGGCACCGCCGCGCACTCACTCCCCAGCCCTGGCGTCCTGGCCGCGGGGACGCGAGGGGTGGGAAAGCCCTTGCTCAGCCCCGGTGCCCCCACGAGCTCCCAGGTCCCTTGGGGGAAGCAGGGGACGATGCAGCACCCGTGTGCGCTCCCATGGGCGAGCGCGCCCACTCAGAGCCCTGCGCCCACAGGCAGGACCAGGCATCATGCCGGGTTAGAGCACCCCGATCTTACCCAGGGCCCTCTGGAAAAGCAGCACCTCTCACAGCTTCGGGACCTGTCGGATTTTAAAATAAGGGGTGGCAGAGCCCGCGGCAGGGACCGGGGCAGGGACCCGGGGCAGGCACCCACCCTGCCTCTGTCCCTGCTTCACCCACCGGGTCCATCGACCTGACACCAAAAGCGTTTTGTCAGATGGCTTCTGGCTCATCTGATTTAAACCCAGAAACTCCTGCAGGTTTTGCAAATGGCAGTTTCAACGCTGTCAGCAGCAGAGCCAGAAGATGTGGGGCCAAAAGCTTTGCGCCACGGCCGGGGGCAGCTCTAGCAGCCGCTGCAGGGCTGCGGCCGGGGCGGGTCGGTCCCGACCGCCGCTCCG